AATTAATCAATTGCTTTGCTTCTTGACTGAAATGTCAATTCTGCTGCCTCCTATAGGAATCAGTAATTACTTTTATAACTCTAAGGCAAAGTCATTTGTAAAGACAATCTTCATTGAGACCTTTCTGCACTTAGTCCATCATTAACAAGTACCTGTTAAGACAACTACAGAGTACAGTTACACTGAGTATAAGTAAGAAAGCGTAAGAACTAATGGGGGCCACAGAGAGGACAGTGAGTAAGGCGCTGGTGCGGCCAACCTGGGGTTCAATCCCTGACATCCCATATTGCCTCTCGAGCCCAACAGAAGTAACTCCTGAGTGCAGAGGCAGAAGTTACCCCCAGCACCTCCAGCTGTGGCCCCAAGCCCTCCGCTACCGCCCACCCCACCCCCCAAGAAAGAACCACTGCCTGGCGTACCATGTGGATGAAAAGTTAAATTATAGTGGTGGTCTGTGGAAGTTGTAAAATCTTTTTCCCCCCTGTACGTGTGCTTAGATTTGTTGTGCAAATAAATCACTGTTTCATTCACTTTAGTAAGATGAACGGGTTAGGGGAAAAAAAAAGGTTTTGATGACCAACTCCCAAATCTTGTATGTTTTTTCGGTTTTTTTTTTTTTTTTGCTTTTTTGTTTTGTTTTATTCTAGCTTTTTTGTTTTATTTTGTTTTATATTAACCTGAACAGGAAAATATTTTTAGTGAATTGAATAAAGACTCCGGTAAGCCCAGTCGAGTCAGATATCTTGAAGAACTCTGGCAAGTCACAGTATCTATCTCACAGTACTTTGGTGCTTTGGTGTTTTTTTTTTCTTTTTGCTTCAAACCACCCCCTACTCCCACCCCACCACAGGTCCCCCCCAACCCCCCTTTTTTTTTTTTTTGCAACCACATTAACAAGTCTCACAGTGTTACTGGGCCTGCTCGATCAAATCGATGAACAACGGGAGGACAGTGACAGTGAGAATCTTTGTTATCCTTTTTGACTTCCACAAAATTGTGACAGGCAACTGCCACTGCTTGGGCAACTTTTCCTATCTCATTTTTGTGTGGCTGGTTCAGTGTTTGTCAAGTTGGGAGCCCCACAGGCCACTGGACCGTCCGGCAAGAAGGGCAGGGTTATAGCCACCCTGGGTGCAGATGGAGGCTGGTTTCTATTCACTTCTAGGAGTTGGGCTTGCGGGGGGGGGGGGGGGGGGGGGAGGGGCAGTGCTCAGTGACTTTTCACCCCTGAGAAGGGGGCAGTAGGGCAAGTCAGTTTGGGGATCTCTAACAGCTGGACGCAGATCTGCCTTCTCAGTGTTCTGCCACAGCCTGTCTTTGCTTTCCACCTACCTGTTCCTCTCTGATGAAAATGTAAGGCTTTTCATACACACTTTGAATAGCTTAGTATTGTGGAGTCCATTTTAAAAAATGATTTTTCAGTTTTGAGAACTCTGTGGTCTTGCATTTATTTCTAGGAAAATTGTGTGTGCGCGCGCGCGTGTGTGTGTGTGCGTGCTCACGTGCACACACACATACACATAAAGTATGTTTATTGCATGAAAGTATCTAAGCAAGCATATGTATAGATGTGTTTTCGCTTGTGCCTGGAGCATCTGTGAATGTCGTGTGCCCCTGACCCTTGCAGGTGTTAGTAACTGCGTCATCAAGAGTTTTTTTGTGTGTGTGATTTTCTCCCTCTTCCAGCAGTTCAGATTGCTGAACATTTTGCTTTTACAAATACATTTGCTGAGTAATGAATGAGTTCAGTTTTTGGATTAGATGGTCGATGCTTCTTTAAGGCCTGACTTTTCTGTTTTCAAAAAACTTTTAGCAGGGGAATCCAGTCTATCCCTGCTTCCAGCCTCCCAGGAAGCACCGTCCCTTGACTGTCCCTTGAGGACTGACCACCACGACACCCTCCATTCCTCAGGTTCCATTCCTGGTGCGTTTTCTTTTTTTCCCAACTTAATCTTGAAGTTGAGCCGTTTTGTTCAGAATGTGTGTTTTGTTTTGTTTCATGCAGCTCTTGAAAGGGGCTCACGTTTATTTAGGGGAGATTCTGAAAGGGCATTTCCTTCTTTTTTGCATTTGCTGTGACTTGAGCTGCCTCCCCTTCGTCTCCGACCTTCAGCGGGGGAGACCCATGTGATCCGATGCGGTCTTGTCACTCTTTGGAAGCAGCTTGGCGCCTCTTTCCTTCAGGCCCGGAGGCAGCTGCTTTCCCGTCTTCTCTCAGGTCTGGAGTTGGCTGCCCCACAGCTAAGATAACATTGTGCCTTTCGGTAGACTCTTGCTGTGTCAGGTTTTAGAAGGTTTTTTGTCTTTCTTTTTTTTTTTCTTTTTGGGTCACACCCAGTAATGCTCAGGGGTTACTCCGGACTATTCACTCAGGAATTACTCCTGGCAGTGCTCGGGGGACCATATGGGATGCCGTGGATTGAACCCAGGCCAACCGAGTGCAAGGCAAACAACCTACCTGCTGTATTATCGCTACGGGCCCTGCCCATTTTTTTTTTTTTTTAAGATTTTGTTGTTGTTGTTGTTGTTGATTTTTGTCTTTCTGGTGGAGGAGGCCCACCTGGCAATGCTGAGACCCACCTGGCAATGCTCAGGGCTTACTCCTGGCTCTGCACTCAGCAACTACTCCTAGCAGTGCTCGGGGGACCCTCTGGGATGTCAGGGATGGAACCTGGGTCGGCCACGTGCAAGGCAAGCACCCTACCTGCTGGACTAGCGCTCCAGCCCTCTTTACCAAATTAAAAAAAAAATTTTGTATAATTAGAAAAGTTGTGTCAGCATTTATGATTACAAATAGTAATGGGGGTAAATGAGTGGTAAGTGGGTATTGTTCAAAGTAGGCATGTTTTGGGGCAGGTGATGTAGTTCGAAGGGTCGTGCACGTACTTAGTCTGTAGGAGGCCTGGGTTCCATTCCTGGCGCTGCGTGGAATGACCCCAGAACCCTGCTCGGTGTGGCCCCCCTCCCCCAACTGAAATAATTAGTGGCAGGAGAGAGTACAGCAGGTTAAAAAGCTTGCTTTTGCACCTAGCGAACTGGGGTTCGATCCCAGGCACTGCATATGGTCTCCCAAGGCCAGGAGTGACCCCTGAGCACAGAGCCAGGAGTGAGCCTGAGCACAGCCAGCTGTAGCCGAGAAGTCAGCAAAAAGTTTTAGTATTTAAATGGGCATGTTTTATAGAACTGTACGCCCTACATTTTGTTCTCTGAGAATCCAGATTTCCGGGCAGGTGGCATTTTGCCAGTTACTCTGCATCTGGAAATTGATGAATTCTTGACGATTTCAAGAGTCTCTGCTTACGTTTCTTTTCTTCGTGGCCTCAGTTCAATTAAGAAAGCATCTGTGGAAATGTAGAGACAAAAGAGATGATTCCTGCCTCTAAGAAGCATGTATTCTAGGTAAGGTAGACATGTCATGATAGCGTGTAGGAGAAGAAACGAGAGGAAGACATATACTGATATACAAATCTATGCACACACACATATATCTCAGGCTTTCATTGTTTGAAAAAGTGCTTTAGGGTCCAAAGAGATAGCACAGCAGATAGGGCACTTGCCTTGCACAGCGCCCACCTGGGTTTGTTCCCCAGCACCACCTATGGTTCCCTGAACACTGCCAGGAGTGATTCCTGAGCACCACCAGAAGTGACCCCAAGGACCAAGACAAAAACCAAAAAGCGTGCTTTATGTATTTATTCATGTCATTTCGTCTTTTTTTGGGGGGGGAGGGGTCACACCTGGCGATGCTCAGGGGTTGCTCCTGGTTCATGCATTCAGGAATCACTCCTGGCAGTGCCCGGGAACCATATGGGATGCTGGGAATCGAACTCAGGTCGGCCGCATGCAAGGCAAACACCCTACCTGCTGTGCTATCACTCCAGCCCCTCATTTCATCTTTTACCGCAGCACATGAGATAGTTTTCCTCCTGACCTCACTTACAGATGAAGACACTGAGTCACGGGAAGCTGAGTGAGGGTAGCTTCTCAGGCCCAGACCCAGGCAGTCTGGCTCCGGCGTCTGCCCTGCACTCACCCGTCAGCTGCTGTTCTTTTGCGTCCCAGAGAGGAGGTTGTTTTCCCCTCAGAACAAACCTTCCCGTCATGGCATTTCTTAGCTGTCATCCACTGGAAGAGGCACGCAGCACTGAGGGCAGGGAAGAATTGTGGGGAAGCTCAGCTGTGGAAATGATGGACATGTCTTATACCACATCATCGTGGACTGTCAGAGAAGACATGGGCTTTCCTGTGGGGATCTACCTCTTAAATCAGCTCCCCAGAGGAGGGGAAGGCATTTGGGGGCATCTAGAGAATTTCAGGGGCTGGAGCGATAGCACAGTGGGTAGGGTGTTTGCCTTGCACGTGGCCGACCCGGGTTCGATTCCCAGCATCCCATATGGCTCTCTGAGCACTGCCAGGAGTAATTCCTGAGTGCAGAGCCAGGAGTAACCCCTGAGCATTACCAGGTGTGGTCCCAAAACAAATAAAATGACCCAAAAATCAGAGAGAGAGAAAGAGAGAGAGAGAGAGAGAGAGAGAGAGAGAGAATTTCAACATCCTCATGTGGACACGGGGCAGATTTGGCCCTTGTGCTGAAGAGGGGACTTAGAGCAGCCTCCTTTGGCTTCCGAGGATAATAGTCCTCAAGGCCACCCAGTGGATTGCCACAGCAAGGGGGGAGGCCGGTAGCTAACCCCCGGGACGGGCGGGCAGGCGGGCGGATCACTTAATGCTGCAAAATACTTTGGATGCCTCTAAAAGGCGACTTCTGACTGCCCGAGTGAAGGCGATCCTATAATGAGATCTGAATCCAAGATTGATTTTTGTAATGAGGAAATCGATTTCCCGAGGAAATTGTGTGACAGTGTGATGTTTGGACGCGTGTACTTCTTGGTTGGTCTGTCGTCGACGTTTTGACAGATCGTCCCTCCGCCCGGGACCCCCGCTGCTCTGCGTCCCTCGCCCTGCCCTTCCAGTGACACTGTCTCCTTTTCCCTCCCTAGGTTTATGGAATCCGAGCTGGACCTCAATGACATCATCCAGGAGATGCACGTGGTGGCCACCATGCCCGACCTGTACCACCTCCTGGTGGAGCTGAACGCCGTGCAGTCTCTTCTCGGCCTGCTGGGGCACGATAACACAGATATCCTTTCTGCCGACGTGGGGGGATGCCGTTTCCCTCCCTGTCTGTCAGTCTCTGCTGTCGGCTGTCATGTCTCCGCTTCTATTTCCGTCCTAATGACTTTCCATCTGAAACACACGCTTGTCTTGACTCATTCGAAATCTGGTGGGCTTGGGGTTGCGTGTTTTTTAATTTTCCCCCTCCCTCATCTATTAATAAGTCTTGGACAATCCTTAATAATCCCGTTGGCTCTTCTTATTGGCACTAGAATTCACCGTGCTGTGTCTGTTGGTACAGGAAGCGCCTTTATTTGTTTCAGGATCTTGCTTGGGAGGCCCGTTAATAGAGGCAAGGCCTGACAGATTGAAATCTGGCCCGACAGGACTCAGATCTGTTGATCTAGACGTAATCCTCCTAACAGACAGCCCCACGGGGTTCAGCCCGGAGGAGGCAGTGAACCGTCACGCACATTGGAATAGCCAGGAAGACAGGGAGGTTTCCGTTTTGAACACAGCTGTGTTCCCTAGTTTCTTGAGAAAGAAAGTTGTCCGCGTATTCAGTGTACACAACATTGACTGTTTGTCAGGTGAGCATTAGAGGCCGACAGTCCAGGCTTGGCTCCCAGCTCAGTTTCTTATATGAAATTTGGGGACCCTCAGGCCCTTCTGTAGGAGGTGAGTTAAACTAGCTATTGCCTTTCAGTTCCTGAGAAGGGGGAAACAGTTGTGCTAAGCACACAGTGGGCACTCAGCAAGTTTCTCACACACAGTAGGCACTTAGCATGTGTTATTTTGAACTGAAACGGAATCAGGCCTTCCCAGATTTATTTCATGATTTGTCTTTGCTGTCAGATACGCAGCCGCTTAAGTGGGAGAGGGCTTTGATATGTCTGAGGCCAAGGTTATGCTTGTTCGAGAGAGCTGTTTTCCGCTGGTCACCCTCTTTGAATCCGGATTGCTGAGAGTCAAGAGACGAATACAGTGGGTCTGCTTGAGCGATACTCGTGGAGAATGTGTGGCTGCCTCATGTTATTTTCATCTTTCTGGTAATATCTCTCCTGAGAGCATGTCTGACTAGGATCTCTCTCGCCTGATAATTCCTAGGGAAGTAAATCAGAGAATAATTTTACCGGAGACTTCTTGAAGGGCGATCACCTGCCGTTTTCTGACGCGTCATGGAATGTCAGACGGTGTTCAGAAACGGTCTCTTCGTCCCCGGATAGACGCGGGCGTTTCTCCAGGGCTTGCTGTGAGGTTCTGGATCGTCCGCGAGCCCTCCTGTGAGCATCTGTCTGAGTGAGCTGCAGAGGGGGACTCAGGATTTCCCCCAGGAGGCATACTTTGTGTGTGTATCCTGTCCTAGGCACCGGGCTGGTCCCCAGCGGTGTCAGCCAGTCAGCACTGTCGGCTACCTACTCCCTGGTGAGCCTCAGGTAAGGTCCTGCCTGGTCCTCACAGTGGCAGTGACTGAGAGGGCTCGCTGTGACCTCGCCGGTCCCTTCGCCTGCCAGAATGGTCCATCTTCAGAATCCAGAGGACTCGGATATTTTTTTTTTTCTCCATCTTTATTCGGTGGCAAGTCCGAGGTTCATGGTTGGCCTAGCTGACGGTCAAGGTCAAGTCATGCCAAGGCCCCTGGTTTCCGGTCCAGTGTTCTCTCTGGTGAAGAGTCGCCTTCATCCCCCGTAGATTTGCCGAGGAATGAATCACGTGTGTTGTTTCTGGCTCTCGTTCTTCCCCGCCGGCGCCCCCCCCCCCCCCCATTTCTTCCCGACTCTTGCTAACCCCAGACAATAGTGGCATCTCCTGAAGGTGCTGACATTCTGCTGATTCACCCGCCCGGCTCCTGCTGGGGAAAAGACTGACACAGGCAATGCTGCTCGACACGGGCACGCTCAGAAAGGCAAGGGCACAGATGTTCCAAGTTGTTAAGTTCTGGTCTTTTAAGAAAGGGGGGGAAAAAAACTAAAAAAAATAACCCCGTCGTCCCCATATAATAACTTTGACATCCCGCCATTTCCCTCCTGTTTCTCGGGAGCTAAACTGTTTTTCTTCCGCCTCCGGGTGTGCCAGCCCTCACCCTCCTGCCCTCGTGGCATTTTTTCTTTCTTTCTTTTTATTTTTTTTCCCCAAATCTGATTTTTAATTACTTAATTTTAATTAGAGGCAGCAATTAGGGGAAATGTCATCGTCCTCCACGCACGGTTCCTCTTGGAAGCGGCTTCGGGAGGAGGTCGGCGCTCTTGACTCGCTGCTGCCGTCCCGCCTCAGGGGGCAGGACCTTGTCCCCCACCGCCCCTCCGCCTCGCACTCCGCCGCTTGGCTTATCTGTGATCTATAATGGAAATTTTTCTTCCCCGAGACGGTTGTTAACAATTTACTGTTGTACAGCTGTAACTGCCCGCAACACCTTACCATGAATAAACAATTTCACGGCAGTCACGGCTTCAATTTTTAATCTCCCTTTAACTCTTCATTTATCAAGCCGGGCCCGATACATGACCGGCCCCGTCCTCGGTGCGCCCGGGTCGCCGGCGCTTTGTCCTTCTCCGAGAAAAACATCAACTGTTGGGATTTTAATTGGATCAGAGGCTGGTGTGTTGTAACCTTAAGAGGCAGGAGATGTGCGAAAACAGCTTGTGCCTCCTCCTTTCAACCGTGAGAAGCAGCTTCCCAGTTTATTCTGGCGCTCTGCATCACTGCTGCTGGGGAGGGCTTGTCAGCGCTTCTGGGCCGCGTCCCCCCTCCAGAGGCTGGAGCCCAGCCATCGCTTGGCTGCAGAGTGGAATTCTGTGAAGAATACCTCGGGGGGTGAGGGCTGGAGCGGGAGGGAGGGCCCCCCCGCCCCCCACTCGCCGGCTAAGAGTCACTGCGAATGCATCAGGAGAGAGCGCAAGGTGGGTCCCCCCCAGCTGCTGCCTTTTTAGAAATAATGCTTTTTAAAACAATTTTTTTTCTTTCCCCTCTAAAGTAAATCATTTAAACATGTGTAGAACCTCTTCCTGTGAACCCTTTGGAGCCTTCCTACAGGAAAATAAATCCAAAGGCACACTGCAAGATGGTAATCTTAAGCTACCTCTAACCTGGACTGGAGAGAGAGAGAGAGTACACAGCGGGTCAGGCACTGATGTTGCATGTGGCCGACCCAGGTTCGATCCCCAACACCCCATGTAGTCCCCTGAACCCCACCAGGTGTGATCCCTGAGCACAGAGCCAGGAGTAAGTCCTGAGCATAGCTGGGTGTGAACCCCAAAACAAAACAGAATAAGATACCCGCTTTTGTGGTCTGGTTTAAGTCACGTTTACTTGGTTTGCCTAAAGGACCAGGGTGTACATACAACGAGGGTAGATGGAACCCCAGATGGCGATTACCCCTTCGGCTGCCTCTCTCTCTTTCTCGGTCTCTCTCTCCATCTCCCTCTCCATCTCCTTCTCCTTCTCCCTCTCTTTCTCTCTCCTTTTCTCCCCAGCACCATCTTAGGAAGTATCTTATTTTCAGTGTCCGATGCTGTGTTTTCTCCACTTGAGTGACACTCCAGGACACCAGGCCAAGGTCCTGCTGGCAGATCAGGGCATGCACTGGGCTTCTCTCTGGGGTGGTGAGCAGAGGGGCAGCAGTGTCCCTCAGATTGCTGTGTGGTGATTCCCCGGGAGTGCTCCGCTCCGGAAGTGCTCTGGGAAGTCAGAGGTGGGGGGTCGGCTGGCCCGATCCACCAGGCGACTAGGGGATTGGCCGTACTAGTAGGCGTTTGATGGATGTGGAGGTCTGCATACATTTCAAGAGCCTTCTCATGTTCTCTGCCTTGGGGGTGGAAGTTGTCATTCCTCGTATGCTGGAAACTGCCGTGCCCTTGCCGACAGCTCGTGGGGCCTTGCTACAAACTTAGTAGAATATCAGGTCTGTGACTTTATTACTTTATTTTTTCAGTCACAGTTAGCGGGCTTGGAGGTGAGGCACTTGCCTTACATATGGTTACAGAGGCTGCGCCCGTTCAAATCCCCGGCACCGCATATGGTTTCCTGAGCACAGAGGCGGGAGGAGCCCCCAACCCTGCTGGGCATGGCGCCAAGACAGCCCACTTGCCCTATTCTTAATGAAAAATAATAATGAGTAGTCTTGATCCACTTTTATTCAGAGTTGGCTTTCTCTCTCTCCCCAATCAAAATTCCAAAAAAAAATGAGGTGTCATTTTAGCATTAGTAGAGACCTGAGTGGAAACTTTACTATCTTTATTGTCCTTGGCCCAGTCCGAGGCTGTCCTGTCCTAACAGGTCCTTATTTAAAAAGAAAAAAAAAAAAGCCACAGGGCAGGTCTAGAATCAGTTTTGTCCTGGAATCATTTTATTTCATTTTCTTCTTCCAGAATTTAGCTGGGACTCACTTTAGAGCCTGGTCTTTAGCATTATGCAAGAGCGCGGCTTGGCTTTCTGCGTCTAGAAGGCCCGGGAGGGACTTACCAGTCGCCCTGATAGATTCTGTGGATTGCTGCGGGAATTGGAGAACGAGGAGCAGACAGTTTGCTGAGACCAGCGGGGATCCATTGAACTTGAGCAGTGTGGGGCTGCCTGGGAATGGTGTCGGGGAGAGCAGACTGCGACACCCCGGGCGGCCCCCGAGGAGGAGGGGCCAAGATCGCCGGGGGCTGCCAGTGTGAGCGCCCTAGCCTTAACGAGCAGGAACCGGGCGACAGAGGGTTTGGGTCTCCTAGGGGCTGGCTCCTAATTGGGCTGGGAGGGAGCTGGCGCCTGCTCCAGTGCTCGCCTGCAATCACGGCCTAACGAGATCTGCATGTCTCGGGGGCTGCTGTTTACCTACTAGCACTTCTCTAGAATCAAAGTTACACTGCAGAGAATGCAGGGAAAAAAAACCCTGCTGCTTTTTCTCACTGCTTTGTCATCGTGACCGCGCCCCGCCCCCGCCACCATCACCTGTGCTGATGGCAAACCACCCCTTTGGGGGTGCCAGTTTCAGCAGGCCCGGAAGATAGTCAGATCAGGTTGAAAAGGGCCAAGTTGGGGATCTC